AAAGTTCCTGACAAGGCTTTTTTTCGCACTTTATAAACAAGGGCCTTAATAAGGCCCTTCACAATTTGCATAAGGCCTCTTCACATTTCTAAAATGCCAGCTTCACAACTGAAAGAAATGCCACTTTCACAACCAAACATTACTTACATTGATGCTGCAAAACAACAAAAATCTTAGTATATTAAGCAGTGTCACCTTTTAATACCCAAAAATATTAGTTATTTACAGCTTGATAAAATAAGAGCTATGTAAACATTTCAAGTAAATGTTGTGTTTCTTGTTTTTTTCAAATAAAGAAAAATGTGGGTTGTAAGTTGACTTTCAAAAGTAGTGTCAATATCACAATTCTCCTTTCATGATTTTAAGGAATATACACAAAAACTTCACATTTTCAAAACTAATCGTGCTTTGCCTTTCACAAATAAAAAATAACACCTTCATATTTTAGGGGGAAAAAGCCCTGCTTTTCAAATATCAAAACAGCTTGGTAAGGCCATGACAGGGGTTGGTCTAAAATCTAAGACAGAAATGCCTAATGCAAGAGTATAAACCAAGGGTGTCAAACAAGCAAAAGAAATTACAATAAAATTTTGCAGGTTTTTACTGTAATACAAGTATGCATCATATATTATCTGGAGCCCTGAATTAACAATACAAGGAAAGTGTATAAACTTTCATCTATAAAAAATTATAAACTTTACCTGCCAAGTCTTTTATCTGCTCTATCCCTTATTTCCATCTGTAATACTGCATGTGACCTTGATGAGTCTGGATTGACTCCTGTAGCTCCTTTACTCCTTACTGAATTACCATACTCTAAAACCTGAATAATCAAATAGTAGAATACATCAATTTTCTAACTTTTTTTAGGGAAGGTGGGGGGCATGCTTCATTCCCCTATTAATACGACTATGTACTAATGAATAACAACCATGACATTTTTTATCTTTCATCCAATCACTCACAGCTTCATCTCTGTTTTGTTGTGGTGCCAAAAAAAACCCCACAGAATATGTGTAACTGACAATGTAATAAAATTCAAATCTGACTTTTCCTTTAGTGTGCAGCCTTTACCAGGGCTTTAGTAATCTAAAAGTCCTTGATATTTCTCATGGGTTGTAGTCTGGGCTAAACCTGTCTAGGTTTTTATAGTGACACTTCCCAGCTCTACTGGTAGAGAAATATTCATTATGCTTTTATAATATAAAAGGCACAAAATGATTCCTTGGTAAACTGTTTTTGTTTTACTGTAAAATCATTTATATCCGTGGGCATGAAATTCCGTGGTTTTATCAAAACGGGCATTTTCATGGGTTCTTAAATTCGTGGATTTTCATTCCTTGTAAACCAAAAAAATAAATAAGTAATGCAAAAATCTTCACTTAATCACCACGCTGTTTTACTTACTGCATGTATATAGCACAGCTCTTGTCAATAAATTTAATCCTTGCCTCTGGTGGCAACACAGTTACTGCAATTAACATGTTTGTGTGACATGATATGCAGTACTATTGGTCACACTGCCCCTATAATTTGCCGATGTAAACATTGCATAAATAATACGACACCTGCCACTTTAAAGACGTTTACACCCTGAATTGGTCTTACCCTTTTTGACAAAAACTACACGCTACATCACATCGACCGTGTAAATGTATATGCATATAAATTAATACGAGTAAATGGCTCAAAACAGTTATTTACATCTAGTAAAAGACTTTTTTGATATTTTCGGAATAGCAGTCATTTCAATGGGTCATTTACAAACTAGTCTTGTTAAAATCCGGCAAAAGAATTTGCAATTCATCTTTTTTAGCAACTGTTTTTTTCTCCTTTTTTTGTATACTTAAATTACAACATCATTTAGATTAACAATTAATAAGTGTAAACTGAGAAGTTTATCGGTGATAATTAATGCACTGGGTTCCCATATTTACTCGATTATGACACGTATTCTGGCTAACACAATCAAGTAGCCTACAACAATCAAGTAGTCCCCCTGATGTTTATATGCGACAGACATTTGTGGCAGCAAATTGAAGACATACAATCGGATTTCTTTCAAATTTTTTAAATATTGCAAAACTAAACTATTTATGGCTTTAATCTGTCACTAAAATGATTTTTTGTATACATTCATACCTCAAAAATCGGCCGGAAAAGCGCCAACGCATGTTGTGATATATGGAACAGAGACATGGTAAGAAGTATTTGTTGAGATAAAATTTTGTCGGGGCTTAAATTCGTGGAATGACCTATCCACGAAAAACCACTAAAATTTGTGCCCCACGAATAATAATGATTTCACAGTATTCATTTGTAGTAGGAAATGACACAAGACATGTAGTTTACATTACTTTCAGGTAACAAATTAATCAATCACATTTTGTCATCATCATGGAATACACTAATACATTTCCCATCATATTTTTGACTGATGTTCATAATAATGCTTGGCTGGTTACCTGCATGAGAGATTGTTCATCAACTGCTTCTGTTTCAGTAAGACCAGTTATACAAACACGCTTGGAACCATCCTCTCTAGCATGTAACCTGTAATGAATAAAAGAAATGTTTAAACCTTCTGATTAACATGTGACGTTTGATTATGAAAATAAAATATGTATCTTAAAAATATCAAAATGAAATCCTGTTAAAGCAGGCACTTGATGACAAATTTTCAGAATTAGTTTGGTTAAAAACCCTAGAGGGGAGGAGTTATGCCCAGAAGAGAATTCCTCAGTATACATTATACATGTATGTGACAAAAACAAAAAACCATAATACTGTATGTGACAAAAACAAAAAAAAATAATTCTGCTAAACGTTAACAAATCACAAACCAAAAATGAAAGATCACAAACCCCTGACAACATGCAAAATGACTCTTAATAATGAGATTTCTGTTACAGTTTCGTTAAAATCCCTAAAGAAATGAAGCATAAGTTGCACACAGAAAACACTGCTAAAAGCTTAGCCGCCTGCACTCAGACATTTATCAATCTATTAACTTCATTTTTCTCGTTAGATTTTTTTTTTCTAAAACAAGCTGTTGTCATAGTAGGAAAGAAAACATTGTCATAATTACCTGTTTCTTTTATTTAGAAGATCAAACAGCTGACCACAGTAGATTTCAAAGAAGCTGACCCAAACTTTAATACCTTCACCATACTGTCCAGACTCTATGATAGAGAATATATCATGTGCTGCCAGCAGATACAGCCCTGGTATCTCTCTGTTACCAATCATAGTGTGAGTCTTCCCAGCTCCTGTCTGACCATATGCAAAACAGGTGGCATTCCCACTGTTTATAAAAATAATCATCACATTAAAAATACATGTGAAGATTAATTAAAATAACATTTGAAATTAGTCAAACAAAATGATGTTTGCCTTTTCTTTCTTAGAAAAAACATGGAATATGCTGAATATGTAAATCAAAAGCTTTGTGCAAGACAATACTCAGAGCTTGATTAAGGAATTAAAGAAGATCTTTGGAAATATCTGGTTGTACACAATGCGTAACTAAATATGGGGAATTGTTAAGTAAAAATCCATGATAGACCTATGTTTTACTGTAATTCAAAAATTGGACAACATGAGGAATAATTTCAAGTTTCAATATAAGTCAAAACAATAGCTCAATGGGTTCTAGTTTTCATGATAACATGAGTCTATCAGATTAAGATATAAACTTTTTTTATTAACTAGAAATGTGTCATCATGCCACGGATGCCCCCGCATGCAGCCAAAATTTCAGATGTTATAATTTTTAGTTCCAAATTTGTTTGCACAAATTATTTTTTTAATTTTAAGTTCAAAGCCCTTAAAACTTTTCAATGTTAACACAAACCATTTCCATACAATGTTCAAGGCACTGAAATTATTCAGTCTTAACCTTTTGAAAATAGCATATTTCATATTTGTAGCCAAAATAATGGCTACATACATTTCCACAAAAGTATGAGTGCTGAAACTGAAAGTTCAAAATTTTTCCAACATTCAAGAAAGATAAGTTTGTCCAAAATCATTGAACCACGACCAAATTCAAACTTAAACTGCTTATTCCTAAGATGTATCTATATTATTTTCAAAGTGAAAGGGACATAACTCTGCCAAAAAATCATTGAACCTTGACCAAATTCCAACTTGACATACCCATTCCTTTGACATATCCATATGTCAAATTTGAGTTGAATATGTAACACTGTTGGGTAGATAATGTATTGATCAGAAACTGTAAATTTCATATTATTTTCAAAGTGAAAGGGGCTTTACTCTGCCAAAAATCATTGAACCATGACCAAATTCGAACTTGGCCTGGGCATTCCAAAAACATATCCATATGTCAAATTTGAGTTGAATGTGTTGTACCGGTGGGGAGATAATAAACAGAAACTGAAAATTTCATATTATTTTCAAAGTGAAAGGTGCATAACTCTGTCAAAAATCATTGAACCATGAACAAATTTGAACTTGACCTGCGCATTCCTTTGACATATCCATATGTCAAGTTTGAGTTGAATGTGTTGTACCGTTGGGGAGATAATGAACGGAAACTGAAAATTTCATAATATTTTCAAAGTGAAAGGGGCATAACTCTGCCAAAAATCATTGAACCATGACCAAATTCAAACTTGACCTGTATTTTATCATGACATATCCAATTGTCAAATTTGAGTTGAATGTGTTGTACCGTTGGGGAGATAATGAACGGAAACTGAAAATTTCATATTATTTTCAAAGTAAAAGGGGCATAACTCTGCCAAAAATGATCGAAACATAACCAAATTCGAACTTGACCTGTATTTTATCATGACATATCCATATGTCAAGTTTGAGTTGAATGTGTTGTACTGTTGGGGAGATAATGAACGGAAACTGAAAATTTCATATTATTTTAAAGTAAAAGGGGCATAACTCTGCCAAAAATCATCGAACCATGACCAAATTCAAACTTGACCTGTATTTTCTCATGACATATCCATATGTCAAATTTGAGTTGAATGTGTGCAACGGTTACTAAGATAATGAACGGAAACTGATGATGACGGAATGACAAAAGGACGGAATGACGAAACAGGGTAACACTATATGCCCCGGCCATTACATGGCGGGGGCATAAAAAAAATAAACTATAGATATTTACCCATCAAATATGCAGCTAATAAGAGGTCTAGCTGCTCGTATATATACATCTTCATTTGTGCATTTCTCTTCAAATACTTCATCAAATATAAATTCATGCTGTAAAAGAAGAGAAAATGTTAGAGCTTTTTCAGTTTCACTAATTGTTAGCTACTGGTCGGGGACCATGAACCGGTCACTTTTTGAACATTTTTCCGTACAGATTTTATAATTTTTAACCTAGAGATAAAAAAAATTGACACAGTTCAGCTAGGTTCTTCTCCTCACTAACAAACTAGTTTGTTTATTTCTGGTTGTATTGACACTTTTATCTGAGACTTGACAAGGAGGGTATCAAAATTACCTAAATTGTCTACACACCATGTGTCCCGACAGATAAATACATGACGTTATTTAATTCAGATAAAAGTTTGGGTGTTTTGATTTTTAACATGATATACAATATTTCAGCAACAAATGCTGAAGTTTTGGATATTCTATTGTTTACTCTGCAAATGATTATATCTGGTATATGAGGTCAGGCCTTGCTTTCTTGACCCCCAAATTTCAACGTCAACATTCTTGAAATAGACATTAAAATATTACCTTTTACGGGGGTTGAAATAAATTCATTACTTAATTTTAGAAGAAACATACATTTATTGTTGATAAAAAAGTGACAGACAACCACTGAACAAAGAAAATACTAAATTAAGCATTTTCAGGGCCATCCGGGTTTGGTGCTTGTCTGGTTTTGGTGGTCCCCAACCAGTACCTTTATTTACATAAAAGTATCACAAAATATACAAATGTAGTAATTTTTCAGACAACAAAAACCTAATATTTACATTTGTCAATGTATTTACTGTGAATGAAAAAGTTTTAAGTGTTTTAGTATAAATAAGGTAAGGTAAAAGGACAGTATAAACCATTAGCTGAAAGCTTACAGTACATAAATAACAGAGGCTGTCATTGATTTTTTTACAGCCAAAAAAGGCTTATTCCTCCAGCACAAAATAGGTATATTTTCCCCTAAAAATGCTATATTTTCCCCTGAAATGACTTGTGTACATTTTCACCAGATTTATGACTTAACACTTAACAGCAGCTGACTTGTATCAGCCAGTAGATAGACTTTATTGACTCAAAACGAAGAAAGCTGTCCCTTTAGATAGCCTCTGCTATGCTATGTACAATGCATGTTAATTAAATTAAAATGAAATTGAAAATTTTATAAAATGTATGGATAATCATAAATTCTATTCTCAACTATTGGAATTTGTTTTCAGGTTTTCTTGCTTTCCGATTTATCGTGCTATATTTACCCCTTCAGAATGTCTCAGGTTGTTTTAAAATTGAAAAAGAAATCACTGTTTCTATACAGCCTAGTCCCTACACAATCAGATTTTACCTAATTTCCACAGTAGTAAAAGCATCAAAGCAAATCTTCCTAAAAATCCACTAAATTTACAGGAATGAATTGTATGTAAGGAAAAGACCTTTAAAATTATAGCATTGTATGCTTTCGGATCTGATCCTTTTTCCTAATTGTATGATGTAAATAATCATTGTATGTAATTTATGTTTTTGTGCAAATGTCTGAAATAAAATATGTTTAAATTAACTAATTAAACTTGATGTCAAAATGATATGTAATAAAGATCCACAAAATGGTCAACAAAATCTCATAACATGTGTAACATAAAGATACAGGTATATATATTCTACATATAAAATACCTGTAGAGTGTATGCTGTGAGATCTACTGCCTGTTTAGGTTCAGATACCACTAATGTTGTTGTACTGGCAGCTTGAATCATGTCCTCTTCACCACTGCGACTTTCTCGCTTACTCAGTGGTCGTTTACGTACACACACTTTTATTTTGTCTTCATGTAAACGTCCACCACCAGGACGTGACTTGGGTCGAGCTCCTGAACTTCCACCTGTCAATTTTAGGTAATTGATAAATGATATATACAATGACTCATGGTGCATTTACTTAAATAATTTGTTCCACCTAATTCATGAAAGGGTGTAAAGCTATAGCTGACAATATACACTACAGAAATATAGAAAACTATACAGCAACTTTTTAAAGTTGTTATGTTCATACTTTGAAATAAGTTTCAGAAAAAAATGTGTCCTGTTTTTTTACATGTAACTTTCATGAATTATAAATGAAAATAATAGTTCTTATCTATTGATGAAATATGTTGTGAAATGATTTCAAACATAATTTGATTATTCAAAAGCTATTTTTGTAGGATTAACAACAATTAAGCAGATAATTTAGCTTAATTGGTAAATTATGAACATTATTCTTTCAATTGAAGTACTTTGGTATGAGTTTAAATCAAAAAGCAAATTAAACGAATAGTTGTAGGGCAAATATAATTATGTTCCATAATGTAGTATTAATGAATTAAGGACATGTTAGATGCTTATCACCTAATAAAATGAATTTACTATGAAATTACTTGTGATTATGGTAGTAAAATGTAAACAAAGTGGTATTCTGACTTCCATACAAAATACTATTTACTACAATTGTACTAATTGCCAAAATGGAAGAGAAAAGATGCCTTCAGTATTGCCAAAAAATAACATTTTGGAAACTGTAACTACATGTTTAAAGTTTTGAAACATAAAATGACAGCATTTTCAGGCTTAATGTGCCTTTAAGAAACAATGATCTTGCTGGTAGGGGGCAAATTTTAGAAACTGAACCCAAATATGATCAGCGCTGTTTGAGTAATTCAAAGTTAATAAAGTATAGAGAATCATTACACTACTGATTACAATTAATGTAAGATCGTACCAGGCACCCCATAATTATATCCAGCACCATATTTAACTTTCTCTACAGGTGTTTTGCGTATTCTTCCAGGTAATTCCTTGACAGATGCTGTCACACTGTGTTTTACAGCTGGTTCATAATCAGCGGGCTCTTCAGAATCATCACCCGATTCTTCCGATGATTCTTCATCATCAATTAGGTCAAGTATCGCAGCTCCAGCACCTGAAAGATGGTGACTGCTGGCATTTGCACGTAGTCTGTCCCGGACACGTACATCATTTGTTGCAGACAATGCACGGCCCCCAACCTGAAATTACAAACATACCAAGTTTTACAATGTATTCTTTAAAAAGGTAGCAATATCATCTACATTGTTGCAATTTTTTGGGTCAAATCTGTCTGTGTATTTCATTACTTATAATTATACTGAACTAAACTTGTTGACTTTCATACATATATGGTATGGTTTGTGATGAAAACAACTGTATTTACAGTACCACCATAAGAAGCTGACATATCGTCCAAATTTTCTTGGTTTTTAGTTCACTTACACTAGCTGACACTACTGTAGTCTTTTCATCCTTAAACCTATGGCAACTTTCTAAGCTTAACAATAATAATTATATGAAGACTGAACACTACTTTGTGCATAATTTTAAGTTTTAGGAAAAGTAAAAATTTACAAGACATCTAACATCCTGGGAGTGATACAGATCATCAACAGTGAAGAATGATTCAAAATCAGCACTATTAGTCAAATAAGAAAATTACTGATTTATTCCAAGAGCATTACCTGTACTGGTCCTTGTGCTGGACTTCTGTTTCTCTTTCTTGGTGACTTGTTCCTTACATTCTGTATTGACCTGTTCACAGGGTGGTGTCCAGATAATATATCCTCCCTATCTGAAACATTATGCACTGCTTTGATAATACTAATCAACTCAACAAGACGTCTCTTATCCTCTGCTGAGGTAATTCCAAATGCTGGATAGTCACTAGCTGTCAGTCGTGTTAAAGCTTCTGATTTGGTGATACCTTGTGCTCGGAATGAAGGGAAGTATCGCTCTAATTTTGCTTCTCGTAAACATTCATACAGTGTACCCATCTCTTTTGTCTACTGTCAAACTTTTTCTTCTCTGAAATAGTAAATAATGACTTAAATAAGACCTACAATGTAACCAAATTGAAGACTTAATTAAAGAATGTAAGACCTAATTAGTAGCTTTATGAGAAGCTAAGACTTGTTTATCACTAGGCCACAAATTTATCCTTTAATTAATGAGTTTGTGGGGCTTAGTCAACAAAGTTTCAAAAATTATGTTTCAGTATACATATTGCTCTTGTAAAGTTAACAAAATTAACATCAGTACCTTCTAAAAATTTTACTTTTCCTCTCAGAATCAAAGAAATTTATTATCCATCTTCACGTGACATAAACAGTGAAAGTGAATAAGCAATTAATTCAATATCATAGAAATCTAAGAAAGAAAACTACTTTACATTTTTGCTACAAATCAATATCACAAAATTATCTATAGAAAATAACAAAAGAAAAAAATTTAAACAGTCAACAGTCAAAATACTTACTGGAACACCTATTAGATTTGAAAATATGTCCTAAAAATAACTAACTGCGTCAATTTCATTTTAAGATTAACACAATTTTTGGACAATCTCCAAACATTTCTTAATCTAACAGCAGCTTGACCCCGATTTAGTTTAGATGAATAAGAATCCTTTATAAATTTTGTCACTGATGTCTGAGACAGAAAAAAAGTTCAGTAATTTGTCCCATCTAATTAGTTTGTATTTTTTGTAATTTCGTAATATGATCAAATATATCTAGAATGAATATTTCAGATCACCTTAGTGTATTGAAAATACATCACACTATTTCCTTTTTCAAGTTCTAACATGAAATGTTTATGTCAGTCCAGAGTACAGCCCCCTTAATTGAGTATAAACATCTAGAATTATATACATATCTCTGTTTTGCTGAGAAAATTAATGATCTCAGCACTTACTTATTACAAATTCTACCATTAAGAGCATTTTATTACAACAGAAAACCTTTTAAAAATTCATTATTGGTTAGCCTAACTTGTGTCAAGCAACATTTTCTACTTTCATTTTGTCTACAATTTAATAATTCATCCTTTCAGAGAATTGTTTGCATTACACTAAAATATACATAACTAACCCAGCATCAAAAAGACTGCAACATCTGTCGTCATATGAAAAGATGATATCTATATGAAATATTGATGAAATCTGTGAACCGTAAAACTATGATTAGGGGACGCCATTTTCAAACGACGCGGTTGGCAAGGAAAATGCCGAGAAATCCGAATGTCCGCATGCAGGCATAAATACACTAAATTAACAAAAAACCAATGCAGACATTATTAGAACTGTTTGAACATGGAATTTTTTCTCCAAAGTCCGAAAATATATTGAATCATTTGTTTTTGATGTAGTGAAGTAGTCGGTCACTTAAGGATCATATTTTCTCCTTGAATTGGCCACTTTGACTAGTTATCGTTTTGGTTACTCATCCCATCTGTATTTCTCATATTTCATGCGTGTCATGATGTTGATAAAGATATCTTTCCACAGTAGAATCTACTTTGCTAAAGGTTTAATTTGAGATACATCGGGGGACGTCAGGGCTTTGGATATTTACGATGCCACAAAGGTGACATGTGTATGTTTTTATTTATCTCGTGCGCACGAGATACTTTGTCGTGGCCTAGAGTTACTAGGTGTTGCGCACTAGATAATTAAGTGGTGTGCACGAGAAATTATGTAGTAGCACGAGTTACTAAGTCCTGCACACGAGATAATTAAGTTGTGCGCACGAGATACCATGTCGTGGCCACGAGTTACAAAGTCGTGCGCACGAGATAATTAACCGATCAGATTACACTATATAGATCTCTATATGAAACTGAGAAAATTCCTGGTTAGAATTTTACATGCAGCACTATTTTTTTTTTAAATACTTAACGCATTCACTTTAAACTTGATACATGTCTTAATAGGGGGGTCACTATCCAAAGCCCAAGACTAAGTTATGGCTTTTTGTTGGGACCATCCTGTGATAGGATTGATCAGTATGTACGTACTAACGGCTTGTTAATCTTGTCCATACGATGACTTGAGGAAAAATAAGCCCTGGTTTATTTTATTTGGTATGGCCAGTAGATGACCTATATTGATGTTTGATGTAATAAGGTCAAATGACACCTACTAATATTGAAGTCAGTAGACTGAGGTCATTGGGTCAAACAACTGGGTCACCATGACGCAAAATGTAAAATTAGTATCCAATCAATAACTTGTATAAATGGCACTGCGACAGGCAGGCGAAGTATGAGCATCATAGTAGTTTGGCACATTTCTAGTTAACTAACAAACTTATGTATATAGTGTAATCTGATTGGTTTATTTTCTCGTGCCTACGACTTGAATATCACGTGCGCACGACTTATAACTCGTGGCCACGACATAGTATCTCGTGCGCATCAGTTAATTATCTCACGCGCACCTCTTAGTAACTCGTGCGCACCACTTAATTATCTCGTGCGCGCAACTTAGTATCTCGTTGCAATGGATTAGTATCTCGTTAGCACTATATAAATAAAAACGCACATATGTCACCTCTGTACCACCGTAGATGTTAGTTCAAAGCATATTTATTTATTTTTTTGCATGTTTTTTATCATCTGGTGCTTAACCAAGAGTCTCCGAACCAAGGTGCCATTGATTTGGTAATATTGGCATACAAACGAATAAGTATTAAGTAATATGTCAAAGTTTTTGACAACGTAGACGACAATATTCAATATAATCACTTAAAATCACGAGCACTTTCGAGTTTGATGGCATTTGCAATATAAGAGCCACGTGGTAACCATTTGTCATACATAAAGAGCATTGCTTGTCACATCCCACGACAGCATCCCATGTACCGAACAAAAAATTATAGCAAAGAGCATTATCTAGTTTATTGGAGATGGAATGGGCATATCTTTGAAATATTATAATGGCATAAAGGTTTTTTCCAGAGCTTATATGGATTTTCCGTGATTTATATAAACGCGTGTAAACACAAATTGACATCTTCTTAGGTTGCAACTATTACAGTGTGGCAATACCACGTGACATTGATGTCATTTTCGGCATCATTTCCAAGACAAATGTTGCTCGATTCGGAAAAGAAAACAGCCGTAAATATTTTATTTCTGTACCAATTTCTTTGGGATATGCACCAGTCTACGGGGAAAAATATAAGCTTTCCATAGAATATTGGATCTTCGTCAGTATATAAGCCGTTTTATCAAACACTTTGCCTAACCTTGGAAGTTGCTTGTATTAGAGCGGGCTTCAGTTGCAAGCTATTTCGTTTTCTGGCGTTATCTGGTCTACGCCATAATTAAAAAGTAAGGTTTACATCAACCGGGAGTACGGAAGGCAAAACTCTACCTAAATATGTTCATATTTTTATTATGAATGACATAAATCTTACATTTTACTTCAATTGTCAAATCTGGCACCAGTTTCAAGCCGAAAAAAGGACTACAGTTTAAAGCCGATTTTAGAATCCGTTGCAAATGCGAAGCAACATGCCTACCGTTCTCTTTCTACAATTTAGTTTTTCATTGTTGATCTTTCACAGAGAGATTATGAAAAAACTGATTGTTCCTTAAAGCAACAACACTTGTATCGCAATAGTGCACGTAAAATCACGTAGATTTAGTCCTGTCGGAAAATAATGTTTGGTTTCGTTTTGAAGATGTTTAATGTATTGTTCATCTTTTCCTATGTAGTTAAATGTGTTTTATTCTATTTCACAATGGCGAAATTGATAAGAAATATATGTGCTCTCAGTGAGAGAAAGAGTTAATATAAAAACACTTTTGTATGATATGGAAAGGGTTACACTTTAACGCGAGTGTTGTTAAGCTAAAGGTATTTTTCAGTTTATTCTGACAAACACTGACACTCGTGAATGTGACGAACAGGTTCTTCTGTCCTCAAAAGAGAGACTTTTAAAAGGTATATATTTTTCTGGAATTGTTGTATAATAAAGTTCTATAGAGTTTGATAAACTAAAACACAATTTGAACTTGGAACTTTGCCTTGTAAATCTGATAGAATTGTTACTTAGTTGCATTGCTTATAATTCTCTATTTATCAAAAAGACCCAAAATAGCCATGAATAAGAACGAGAATGGACGCCATGTGGAGTAAACAAAGTAGAAAATAGTTAACAGATAAATGATTTTACAAACCAACATCCATCGATCAAAATCAAATTTCTTGAAACAAAACATTCAACAAGACGGAAATAACAAAGATTATCAATAATTATATAAATATTTACATTAACATCTGTAATAGCAACATCGGCAAGATCTATGACTGGGGTCCATATGCCACTGATGCGTCCATTGAATAATTGATAGCTAACATAAGCTTAGTAAAATTACGATTACATTTGAAGAGTAATTTCAATTCTTATCCTTCAACTGCCAAATGACTTACTTCTTTATTTACATATCAGATAATTCACTTATTTAGTATATGCGTCACGTTTATCGTGTTTTTTGGTTTTGAATGTGCGATCCTTTTTTAATCTTAAAATGCTACAAAAAGCCTGTTTAGGACATTTGCAGGTCATGCCGCGTGCAATAATCCATGCATTTACAGCCAATGACCACATCGATAAGAAATAGTCCCAAATAGCCCTATCTTTTTTATTCAGTTGAAAGAGACATTATTGTTAAAAAAGTTCTACTCGATTTAAATGTTTTCAAACCACAAATATTCCGTTCCCTTCCTCTCTTTACAATGTATATTGGTGAGCTCTCTGATAAAGCTGAGTTGACTGATATAATTAACTAAATTTGTCAGATATGCAGTTCATCAACAGAAATAAATGCAATTATAAAATAGATAGTGTTTAATAGTGTTCTTAAGTTAACGAAGTTATATCCAGTTCACGAAAACGGTTACCGCGGGTATGAAAACAGGATATAAAAATATTTTTTATCAACGAGTGCCACTGTGTTAAAAAGCTTAATTTATCATACTAAAAGATTGCTACAGGTTCTTTATATATATATATATACAAAGACTCTTTACAAAAGAATAACATTTGACTTTAAAATTGCCGCGTCGAGGAGTAACCCTTTTTACAGCATACAAATCGAAGTGATCCGGAATGTGCACGTTCATTGGACAGACTAGCTAAGTCAATCAGAGCCTGAAACATTTTCAATTTTGCCGTTTTAGGGGAAATTTAGGGTTTCTGTTTTCTATTCCATATTTAGTATTGCTACATGACACAAATAAATGTTTCATAATCATTACCGTGAAAGAACAATGATTAAAGAGTAAATCAATTTCTTTACAAATACTGCAGTACAGACAACAATTTTACTACTTTTAAAATCACTTCAATATCGCAGCGAGGAAAAATTATTTAAATATTCATTTGTGTTTATGTAAATTGTATAGAAAATAAAAAGTTTTTCATGGTTAACATAATTATAGAAAGAGAACGGTAGGCATGTTGCTTCGCATTTGCAACGGATTCTAAAATCGGCTTTAAACTGTAGTCCTTTTTTCGACTTGGAACTGGTGCCAGATTTGACAATTGAAGAAAAATGTAAGATTTATGTCATTCATAATAAAAAAATGAACATTTTTAGGTAGAGTTTTGCCTTCCGTACTCCCGGTTGATGTAAACCTGACTTTTTAATCATGGCGTAGACCAGATAACGCCAGAAAACGAAATAGCTTGCAACTGAAGCCCGCTCTAAAACAAGCAACTTCCAAGGTTAGGCAAAGTGTTTGATAAAACGGCTTATATACTGACGAAGATCCAATATTCTATGGAAAGCTTATATTTTTCCCCGTAGACTGGTGCATATCCCAAAGAAATTGGTACAGAAATAAAATATTTACGGCTATTTTCTTTTCCGAATCGAGCAACATTTGTCTTGGAAATGATGCCGAAAATGACGTCAATGTCACGTGGTATTGCCACACTGTATTATGGGCCATGTGAACTGCTGTATTTAATTTTACAAAGTTACAAATATAAACGTCAAATTTTTGTCCGACGTCAGTTACTTAAGAAATAATATATCCCAAACTGTGATTTTATAGCTCAATAACATCACTGTTTGGAGTTCGGATGCGAGGAATTATATCACGAGGGCGTAGCCCGAGTGATATAATGTTGCGCATCCGAACGACAAACAGTGATGTTACCCAGCGATAAAATCACCGATTTGGATATATTATTTCGATTCTAACACGACATAAACAAATAAATGGTGCCGTACCTGCTATTAAGCAAAATTGCGCCTGATTTGTTTCCGTACTTATTGTCAGCGC